AAAATCTAAAAGAATCAATAGCCGGGCCGGCCTGGTGGTGCACTGGATAGTGCGCCGCTTGGGAAGCGCGGTGGCGCTCCCACCCGAGGGTTCGGATCCCACATACAGACCGGTTCCCGCTCACTGGCTGAGCGAGGCGCGGGGGCAACACCGAGGGTTGCAATCCCGTTGCCGGTCCCCGGTCCGGTACGGGGGCAACACTGAGGGTTGCGATCCGTTGCCGGACACGGAAAAAGACACACACAAAAAAATAATAAAAAAAATAAATAAATTTTTCCTAAAATCTTTACTTTTAATGTCAGTGAAGATAAAGTATTTAAATAGTATTCCTTTGTTACAGGGTTTTGCATTTTTAAATAATTTTCTCAAAAGAATTACATTTGAGATATCATGTAAATGGCCATGAATATAACATTGCATTGTGAATTTTGTAACATATGCAGAAGTGAAATGTATAACAACAGCACTACAAAGGACAGGAAGAGGGAAAAGGAAGTATGCTGTTGTAATGTTCTTACACTGTACTTGAAGTGGTATAATGTTATCTTCAAATAGACTGTGATGAGTTAAAGATGTTTAATATAAATTCTAAAAAAGTAAGACTAGGAGAGAGAGCCAATAAGCCAATGCAGAGAAAATAATGGGATCATAAAAAATACTTGATTAAAGAAAAGGAAGGCAGGAAAAGAGAGAGGGAAAAGAATAAGAAATGGGACAATTAGAAAACAAATAATGTGATGGTAGATTGAATCTTAACCATATCAGTAGTTATATTAAATTAAATGTAAATACTGCAAGCCAGCATTGGCCAATAAAACTTTCTGTAATGATGTAAATGCTCTATATCTGTGCTGTTCAATTTGGTAGCCAACAGTCACATATTTCTACTGAGCACTTGAAAATGTGCCTAGTGTATTTGAAGAGCCGAATTTTTAATTTTATTCAACTTAACTTAAATTTAAATAGCCACATGTGGCTTGTAGCTAACATATGGAAAACACAGGTTGCATACTCCAAATAATGACAGAGATAAAAAAAATAAGATTTACAATATGTTTCTACAAGGACCTGGCATAATATAGGTATGTTAAAAGTTTCTTTGAGCTTCTTGTGTCTGTATTTTGTTGTTTTAATTTTGTAAATATCTCAACCATTACCTCTTCAAAGATTTCTTCTTTCCCATTTTCTCTGTTTTCATTCTGGGACTCTGATTTCACATATGTTACACTTTTTTTTTACCCCAGTTTTTTTTTTTTTTAATCATGGTAAAATACATATAACATAAAATATACTATCTTAACAAATTTTAAGGGTACAATTCAGTGGTATTAAGTAAATTCATATCGTATAACCATTGCTACTATTCATTTCCAGAACTCTTTTTATCTTGCATGCAAAACTAAAACTCTTACCCATTAAACACTAACTTCCCATTACCCCTCCCCCTAGTGCCTGGCAGCCATCATTTCACTTTCTGTCTCCATGACTAAAACTCTTACCCATTAAACACTAACTTCCCATTACCCCTCCCCCTAGTGCCTGGCAGCCATCATTTCACTTTCTGTCTCCATGATTTTTACTAGTCTAAGTACCTCATATAAATGGAATCATAGAATGTTTGTCTTTTTGAGAATGACTTATTTCACATAGTGTAATGTTCTCAAGGGTCATCCATGTTATAGCATATGCCAGGATCTCCTTCCTTTTAATGGCTGAATAATATCATGTTGTATATATATACCATTTTGTTTATTCATTCATCTCTTGATGGACATTTGGGTTGCTTCTATGTCTTGGCTACTGTGAACAGTGCTGTTAGAAACATAGGTATGTAAATATTTCTTTGATTCCCTGTTTTCATTTCTTTTGGAAATATATCCAGAGGTAGGATTGCTAGATTATATAGTAGTTTTATTTTTAATTTTTTGAGGAGCCTCCATACTGTTTACCACAGATGAACCATTTTACATTTCCAGGGACAATGCACAAGGGTTCTAATTTCTCTGCATCCTCACCAACTCTGTTATTTTCCGTTCTGTTTTTGTTTTTTTAAAATAGTAGCCATCGTAATGAGTAAGGGGGAATCTCATTGTAGTTTTGATTTACATTTCCCAAATAATTACTGTGGCAAATAGCTTATTGGCCATTTCTACATCTTCTTTGGAGAAATGTCTATTCAAGTTCTTTGCCCATTTTTGAATTGGTTTATTTGTTTTTTGTTATTGTTGAGTTTTAGGAGTTTTCTATGTATTTTGGGTATTAATCTCTGCTATGGTCTGAATGTTTGTATCTCTTAAAATTCATGTGGTAAAACTGAATCCCCGATGTGATGGCATAAGAGGTAGAGCCTTTGAGAGGTGATAGATCATGAGAACCCTAATGATTAGGATCAGCACGTTATTAAAAAAGATTCCAGAGAGCTTGTGTGTCCCTTTCACCATGTGAAGACAGAGAAGAGGTCACCATGTATGAGAAAGTGGGCCTTCACCAGGCTCCAAATATGCTAGCATCTTGATTTGGACTACCCAGCCTCTAGAACGGTGAGAAATAAATTTCTTTTTTTTTTTTTTTTCCTTTTTTTTGTCTTTTTTCATGTCCGGCAACGGACCGCAACCCTCAGTGTCACGCCCGTACCGGACCCGGACCAGCAACGGGATCGCAACCCTCGGCGCTGCGCCCGCCCCTCGCTCAGCCAGTGAGCAGGAACCGGTCTGTATGTGGGATCCGAACCCTCGGCGGGAGCGCCACTGCGCTCCCAAGTGGCGCACTGTAGCAGTGCGCCACCGGGCCGGCCCATAAATTTCTGTTGTTTATAAGCTACCCTGTTTATGGTATTTTGTTACAACAGCTCAAATGTACTACTTTGCAAATATTTTCTCCCATTGTATAGGCTGTCATTTTACTCTGTTGAGAGTATCTTTTCATGTACAAAATTATAAAATTTTCCTTGTGAAGTCCAATTTGTATATACTTTCTATTGTTGCCTGTGCCTTTGGTGTGATATCCAAGAATCCAATATCATGAAACTTAGCCTT